GACCCCCTCCTACCTGCCATCCTTCATGATCCTGCTGAGACTGTAGTGGCCCCACCTCTTCACAACTTCACCGTGGTCAGGCTCATGACAATGTCCCATCAGGCATAGGAACAGGAGTGGCGCCTCCTGGTGCTCTTATCCAGGTGTTTTAGCATCCCTCTTTTGTTCTCAGTCCTGCCCATGTCTCTTTAAAGAGACTCTTCTTTCGACTCTCACCTTTTATTCCTCTGCAATTTTTTTGGAAGGGGAAGTGGGTTGGGAGGGGAGGCCCTGGAAAGTACGTCTGCTTATCCACCGCTACAAATACACCAGTTCAAACATAGTGATGTGACACAATAGCATCCTGTACTGGCTTTTATTGCATTTTATGACTCTGGTTTTGAGTCGACTCAGCTAGGTGGTGATCGCTCTGCGTTTCTCACAAGACTGGGTCAGAGGACAGTAGGGACTAGAGACATCCCAAAGACATTTTTCACTTTAACGGTCCAACTGTCAGTGAGTCCTCAGCTGGGGCACCTTCCCCCTGGTCTTCCCACACAGTTTCTTAGCTTCCTCACAGCATGGAAGCCAGGTTCCCAGCGCAACAGTCTAAGAAGGAGCCATGAACAAACTTGATTGTTTCACGACCTGGTCTTAAAACACACACCATGTGACTTTTGCATTGTATTCATTAGAAGCTCGTCCCTAAGGCAAGTCCATATTCAAGATGGAATAATGTTAAAGAATTTGTGGACATGTTTTAAAATCAGCACAGATGGTAAATTCCAAATCTGACATCTTTTCCTTTTATCACCGTCTTAATCTATGTCTTCTACAGCCTCTCTGGTTCCCAAAACAGAGATGAGTGTCTCCACACTCCTCCCTCCTCTCCCACCCATTGGGCACCAGGCCCTGTTGGCTAACTTCCAAATTTCCTCTCAGTTGTTTCAGCCCCTCTTCATCGCCCCCTGCCTTTGCTGTGGTGGTTGGCCCTCCAGCATATCCATCGTGTCTGGGGAATTGCCAACCTCCATCCTTCTTCCCAGGGGTACTACAGACACCGTTGGAATGCACCTCAGACCATATCACAGCCCTTCATTTTTCTGAGTGTCAGACAGGTGAAGGGTCACACAGCCTAAAGTCACACAGCTAACCAGAGGCAGAGGCAGAGGCCAGGATCAGGCCTGCTGGATACTAGGCTGGCTCGTTCCACTACTTACCAGCAAGTATTTAGCTGTTCTTGGAAGGCATTCACCATAGACCTGGGACAGTCTGCCTCTTCATTCCAAATCCCAAATCTGGTCTCTCTTGCAAAGAAATTGCTAGAAAAATAATCAGCCACCTTTATTATTTTCTTTATTCTATTTTACCAATTTACCACTTAACTGGGCATTTCCAGATTTCTGGGTGTCATCATCTCATAAAGGAACTATTCTTGCTCTTAAGGAACTTCCATTCTAAAATTATCCAAGACACAGACAGAGGAGATAGACACACAGAGAGACACTATGCCTTTCTTTTTTTGGTTAGGGCTGGGGGAAGCGCAGAGAAGGGAGAGAAAATAGAAAAGGATAGAGAAAGATCAGCACTGTTTGGTGGATGAAAATAGCTTGAAAGACAGCAAAGAACTTGATGGGATCTGTCCCCAAGAAGAAGGGATTTCGAAGCTGAGCAACTGTTTATTTATTTTTGCATATGGAATCAGCCATTTTATGCAACTGATAAAATCAAGGACAATTAGACCAAATTGAGCTTTAATTTTGGATTGAAAGTGTGATTCTTCCACCAGAACTCCCTCCCACAGCATCTGAAATTGCTAACTGCGGAAGGAGCCCAAAGCCATCAGTCTAGATAAGCATGAGCTTATTGCTTGTCAAAAATGTAGACACTGATAAGATCCGCCTCACACTCCTGCAGGGGCATTAGAAAGTCTAGACAAGATGCAGATTAAGAAGCCACCTCAGGGAGCAGTATTTAAAGCATTGACAAATTTACAGTTGATTCAACTTTGGAACTGAGGAAGAAAAAGTAACTCCAGAACCCCTGGACTATCTGGGCTGCTGGCTGTGGGTTTGGGAGGAAAGGGGGTGGAGAGTGTTGGTGGGACACACTCTTTTCAAGAGCTAGATTTCCAAAATTCTGTTCTCCAAAATGTGCCAAGCTTCCCCTAGCCTTTTTAAAAAATTCCATCTTCTCTGTATCTCCCCAAATTTGCCAGCCTGGTTCTTAACAGCACAATCTCCAAGTGCTGTTATGCTGTAGGTCACACAGACCTGAGGCGGGACCCCTCTTTATCATACCATCTCTTGTGACCTGGACAAGCAAGCCCTCTCTGAGCCTCAGGGTCCACGTCTGCTAAGCATTAGATGCTGATGATGACATCTGCCTCGTGGGACTCACAGGATTAACGAGCTGATGTGTGTGAGGCGTTTCGCACTGTACCTGGTCAGAGCTCAAAAATGTTTCCGATCATTATGTTTATTACTTTGGTTATATGGCCTCACATGCCTCCAGGCCCGTTTCTCCAGGAACCTGAGAGTCAACTGTTGCTGGTGATTGACATCCCTCCCTCCCCTCATTTACTTTTCCTTTCAGAAGTCTTGTTCACTGTCAGGCAGCTGGTTATGTGTGTCATATGTGTGACCATGTTAAGAAATGAAGTTTGGCAAGAGCCCTATCATGGAGGCCCTGGAACCAATGTTATAGTTGCGATTTTCTCAGGTGAAAGATGGGAAGCCCACAGACATTGAGACTGCATTTCAGATCAGACTGCCTTGGTTCCTGCAATGTGCCTGGGGCTTAGATGGTCACATTTTCAATCGTGACATTTCCGCTTTGATGAGATGAAGAGACATGAGGCAACATTATTGTTGCTTTTGCCAACATTTGAAGCAAAAGAAAGTCTTGCATGTCTTTGAAGGTCCTTTAAAAGGTTTTTTTTAAATTAAATTATGTTTTAAACATCGGTTATATAATAGGAAACAACTGCCCCTACCTTCCAATTCTCATTTCTCAAAGACAATGTCTTCCTTCTGGTATTTACCTCCGTATTTGCAAGCAGCATACACAGAACGCTTTTTTATTCTCTTTAGTTTTAGATTTATTGTCAAAGACTATGCATTATATATGTACATATATGCATTATATATATATACATATGTATATACACACACACACACATATCTCAATATCTCATTGCCTCCTCTCCATCTTCTCAGTATAGTTATATCACTGCATGTAGCTAAATCAATGACTGGTGTAGTGTTTTCAGGCTAATGCATTTTCTTTCTTTCTTTCTTTCTTTTTTTTTTTTTTTTTTTTTTGCTTTTTGTCTTTCCTGGAGTTAGTAATTGTTGGTATGTTTGATTTTTCTATCTAAATATCATATATTCCCAATCTCTCCAACTGAGCCCCAAATTTGGAACACACAAGTTATCTATATAATCCTTTTTTCTCTGGAGATGTTCCTCCTGTAACCTCTCTCTCCTGCTCCAGATAGGATGTCCTGCTCTTCAGGCAGCAGCCCAGCAAGCACACAGGGACTTCATTTTACTCTCAGCCTGAAAAATTCCTTTGCTTTCAGAGGCCTTCTTAGAGAACATTTGGGGACCTTCCTCAGGTAGAAGGAGCTATATTAAACTTACAAAAAAACAACTAAAATAATTTTGTATTTTGCCTTTTAATTACGCTGGAAACTACTCTTACCCGCATGCATACCTTAGCTTTCTGAGGATACAAAAGTAAATCCCCTCTTTGGTTTTAAAAACACTACGCTGCCAGTCTGATTTATACAACGGCATACAAGAAATGCAGCTGTTATTACTTTCAGGTGCACACACAGTAATTTAACTAAATGCTATCAAAGCCTTTCTAAGTAAAAAGGCCTCCTGGGCTTGTTTCAATGAACAGATAAAGCTAATTTGTAATTAGTACATTTCATAGTTAATATGCAAATGAGTCCTGCTGTTATCTGTAATTAGCACCAAATCCTTGACTGCTAAGGATGCTGCTGAAATACTTTAAGTGTCCAAATACCTGAGGACTTGAAGACCAGAACCCTCCTCTGAACTCTCTTCCCAGCCATCCACTTTCTCCTGGACCCCTTCTTTCTCTGTACCAGTCGCATTTTGATCTAGTTTAAAAGTAAACTCAAGTTCTGTTCCCTCCCTACAATCGCAGCCCCTTCTATGAGTCCGCTGATCTGATACCATATTTATTCCTCTCTTCCTCCTCTTTCTCTTGCACGTTCCCCATGCAGGCAAGTATATCCATCTTGTCACCAACCCAGAAACATGGGCCTCCTCATGAACTCTTTCCTTTCCCTGTCCTGCTGTATCTGATCCATTTCCAAGGCTGCTGGCTACCAATTATTCCATCCACTGTCACCTTCTCAGGTCAGACCATACCACCTCTTCCAGAAAGACCTGCAGAGGTCTTCCACGGTCTTGCCACCTCTGTTCTCAGCTCCATCTATTTTCCACGTTGCAGTCAGTGTCACTTTGCTTCACTTTACATCTTTCAGGTATCAGTTTTGACATAGTGTCCACAGGGAAGATATCCAAGATTCCAATTCCCCACATCTGATTATAAGTGCCCTTTCCACTTTCTCTCCTAGCTCCCATACTATCTCATGCGGCATCTGCACTCAGGACAAAGTGTGCCTGTGCAAATATGGGAACAAATATTTTCTTACAAATTGAGAAAGTAGTGTGTGTCAAAAGAACAAAGCAGGGCCTCCCCGGTAGCGCAGCGGTTGAGCGCTGGGTTGCGAAGCTGCCCGCAGCCTCTGCAGCACCAGTTTAATCCCCGAGGGTCCCCATGGCGCGCAGACCTCCCCTGCCACCCGTTGCTCCCCTCAGCAGTGTACTTCATCGGTCTGCCTGTTCTGCTCTCTGCTCTGGCTCTGGTGAATTCTCTCACCCTCCTGCTTCTGACTGTACCCAGTGCTTGTATAAATAAATAAATAATTAGATAGATAGATAGATAGATCTTAGAAAAGAACAAACAAGCAGTCCATCAATCACACAGTTTATTAAGGGCAACTCACATACAGGGATTCTTGGCACTGGAGCTGGTAGACTGGACTTTGGGTCAAGGAAGGATCTGCATCACCCATCGGCCCAGGTCATCCATCGGGTCTTCTGATACCCTGCTTAGTACAAATGACCCCTCTTGTGTAAGACTGATAACACTGAATTTTGTGTGGGGGACATGTCATGCACTTCTTTGCTATTTAAAATTAATAGTTATGCATGGATCTCACGTATGGTTAAATACACATGAAAGAAACAATAGGGAAATTGACTATATTCCCAATACAATGCAATTACTGGTCACAGGCTTAAGATATGTCTATAAACAACAAAATCATTTCAATTTTCCTCCCGTACCTGCTTATTTGTCTGCTTTACTTCTCAGGAACAGGAATGTGTTTTGCTACCCTAATCAAGAGACACACAGTAAACCATCAAGAAATACTTATCAAAAAATAGCTAGTCTTCTCAGATTGTTTTTAGATGTTCTCTCATTCTTATTACTTTGATTAGTTTGTTTGCAAAGCAACTCCTTCCCATAGCATACAAGTGTAACCTATTCTTTTTTTTTTTTTTAATAAATTTTATTTTTATATTCCCCATACAATTGTGTAACCTATTCTTAACCATAATCAGTTCATCATGAATGCTGAATGCATAGGAGGCTGGGGTGAACAGTTGTGTCTAGCTTGATTGCTGCCCCCAGAGAAACGCACAATCCACTCTGGGAGGGCTGGGGAGGTAAATGACTGGATAGATTTTCCCATCTCTAGGCTGTGACATGTTGAACCAGTCGGCTCCCCTGACTAGCTCCCCTGTCTGGCCAGGTGATTTCAGTTGTGCAAGAGGGGGTAGGGGGTGTGAGGGGGTGGGGGGATGGGGGACCTCCAGTTTTGCCACATTGTGTATGTTTCTCTCGCCTCCATTACCCACATCTGCAGCCATTGGCCTCAAATGCAGATTAAGTCCTTTGATGGCAGGCTCTAAAAACATGAGAAAGATTTTTCTCTTTGGTAGGAACATTTGAAATAACATCTTTTCAAGTGTGTTGAAGATCAGAATATGAATAGGATGGGGGTGTGGTAGGAAGGGATTGTGAAAGGAGGGGGTTGGGTCCCGCAGCTTGGACTATTCTGAAAGGGGTGGTGGCAAAACTAGCTTTCTTTTCTCTACAAAATGACAAAATCACTGTGGGGACATTTGCAGCCAGAATCTCTTTGACATTTTTGAATCTCCAAAATCATCAAAAATAAGACATACCATGTGTGTTGACAAGGAAAATGCTTTCTGTGGTGGAGTTGTCTAAAAGCCTTTAGCTTTATCAAGATTGCTCTGAGTTTTTGGATCATTGAAACATGTTATATTTTCCTGGGCAGCATTTACATCATGTAGAAAGTACAGTGGAGGAGATAAGTGCTTACCTATAAGTCACTGCAGACACAGCCAGCATGCCAGGTCCACATCTTCCCTCTTAGAAAGGAGAGAAAAGTAGAACAATGAAAATATTTGAAGTGTGGAATGCTGTCCAACCACCATTCACTGACTTAACGAACCTTTACAATTGTGTTAGAGGCCAGCCCTAGCCCCATAGTTGATCCTTAAGAATCACAGGAAAAAAGATCTTCAACTTTTCATTTAGAAGGACTAGGAACAGATCCCTGCAACCCCTTGAGGGTCCTGGAGACTTTGGCTCCCTCCCACATAGTTATAGTCCCTTGCATGGTCACTTGTTGGACAAAGATCATAAACACGCACTTGATCCAGAGAGGCAATAACACTGAAATCCCAGTGAGGAGTCAAACCTGCTCTCACCCAAAGCCATCTGGTCACCTACAAATAAGTTATCTCCTTCCCCCAATTTCCACTTGAGATTCTTTTATGGCATCAACCTCAACATTTTTTGCCCACTTATTTGTCCTTTAGGATCCAGTAGGATGTCAAAATCCAATAACCTACCAGAGCTAATGACAACTACCTACAAAGATGCTGCCAATACAGAAGCCTTCCCCTTTTTTGCAGGGAGGAAACAAAAAGAAAGAAGGGGGCTTGGACCTTGCAGAGAATGGGCCAAAATAGATAGTGAAGCTGGAGCCTGAAACAGATTCTTTTTCTGGAGTATGGACTTTTGGACCCTAGACCATACCCTTCTATGAAGCCCAGGTCATCTATGGGCTGATTCTGGGGCAGCATTGTAAAACCAGCAATAAGCAATGCAATATGACAGAAGTGTCACTTTCACATCCAAGAGTGGCTCTGAATAGTGCATACCCCATGTCATGAATTTAGGTTGGTCATTCCATTTGCAAACAAGAGACAATGTCAGCTTCTCTTTCATTTTTACAAATGCACACACACACACACACACACACACACACAAAGGCCTGGTAGCTTGCTAGGAGCCAAGAATCACTTGACCAGACCTTATTTCATTGCAGTGACCCAGGTAAAGATCAGTTCTGATCTGCTGAGACAGGTGTGCCCACTACCCCAGCTCCAAACATGTACCAAAAACTGCTCCTGTTTCTTAAACTTCTTGGATTTTTGAACCTCTTCAGTATTAATGAGACAGAAGCTCTGAAACCTCATTCCAGAAAAAAAGTACATATACACGAATTTTGCCTAAAATTTCCCCTGAAAGCATGAACCATGGGGGTTCATTCACAACCTCCAGGGTAAGATCCTGGTTTAGCCAAATAGCCAAAGCAACACTGACAAAAAGGAGAAATAAAGTTGATATCACACTCCCAGATTTCAAAGTGCCTAAGTGCCCAAAGACAGATGAATGGACTAGGAAGGTGTGACATATACAAAATGGAATACTACTCAGCTATAAAAAAGATAAACTCTTGTCTTTTGTGACAACACAGGTGGAACTGGAGGGGATAATGCTAAGCACAATAAGCTAGAAGGAGAAAGACAAATACCAGATGATTTCACTCTTATGTGGAATATAGAGAAACAAAACAACAGATAAGATAAAACCAACCTAATAACAATAGAAACCTGACTATAGAATTGAAGCTACCAGAGGGAGAGGGACCCAGCAGAGCAAAGCAGGAAGGGGGCCCAATGGACCATGGTAGAAGACTATGGGTGTCTTGGTGATGGGTGTGGCCTGGTAACTTACACTTGAAGGGCATGGTCTTATATCTCTAAATCACATACAGTGTTGTAAATCAATGTTACCTCAATTTAAAAAATTAATAAAACAAAAGGAGATACAGATGGAATAAAAATATCCTGGTTTAGAAACTGATGAAAAATGTCCTCCAACGAGAAGCACCTTTGCTGTGATGTTCAGAATACTTACTTCTCTCTGAACACATCATAAATGATTGGTTTTACCAAAATTCAAATTATTTACAGCTTCTCAGGAATGCCTCTGATGACATTTCTCATTTGCGGAGGAAGCTTCTCTCCAAGGCAGAAAGTGGAAGGAGGTGGCTTTCTTCAAAATGTACATCAACTACAATCCTGGTTGCCTCAAAGGATCACCTGAGCTGAGTCATCTGAGTGCATCACTGGTGTTTTCTTGGGCGTCTTGTCTGCTTCTCATAATTTATCTGAGCGGTGCTTGTCTGGGGTGTGTTTGGTGACCATCTTAGTGATGAATTTTGTGCAGGTTCGCTCACCCTGCCGTGATTAATTGCCAGCTACGTGAACTGTGACTTGGTGCAGCTGAAACATACATCACCTTGCAACTGAAACGAGGCTCTGGGGGCCAAGTCCTGGTTTCCACTTACTTGGGTGCCATCTTTTCTTCCCAAAACCCCACATGCACTCACGGGAGTGCTCAGCAGAGAGGTTATCGGAATCACTATGGGTTCCAAAATTCTTAGCCAGGATGATCGAAGTACTGGTTTAGGGGAAAACATTTCCCCTGGGGCAAGTGAACCAGTGAGCTGCGTGGCAGGTATTGGCTGGTTACATAGAAAGCAAAGCTCAGCCCCACTGGCACAGTTAGTGCCCTGCTAGGTGTGGGAAGGGCTGAGAGCCCACTCGCTCTTAACTCAGCCAATGCTGCAAACTCACTGGCACCTTGCAGAGAGGTCTTTTATCTCAACCCCATAGTGGAGTGTGTGGGTGAACAGGCTCCTAGAAGTGACCCCCTATTATAGGGTACAGGTCAGAAGTGGAGGAAGAGGATCTGATAGTTGTCTACACCTGAGACCCCACCATCAGCATCTAAAGGATAGGGCCCAGCCATCTTCCTGGCATTGGTATTTGGGAAAGGATTTCTCTGTAGCATCAAAAGAACTCAGACCTGTCAGGGTTAAGGACTGCTACCTGCCAGTAAAGTGCCAGTTAATGCAGATTTGAGTCTAATCTTCGCTAACAAGTTATATCATTTTCCAGGGTTTTCACATTGAGCACCTTGTTTTCTTAGCGATAGAGTACATTCCAGTAGGAGAACTGTATCTTCCATATTTTTAAGATACACCAGGGCTCTAAGCTTGACAATGAACTTACAGAATTCAGGTGTCTCTCTCTGGGTTCATGCCTTTGCACTAACAAGTCCTAAAATGTGTCTGAAATGACCAGAAGACCCTTTTCCTGTAGACCCAATGCCACCACGTGGCCATGTGGAGAAAGAAGGGTCAAGATCCCAGTTCCACCTCTTCCTGGTCCTGTGACCTTGGACCCCGGCATCATGGGAGTAATGCTGACCCTTCCTGGAGCTGCTATGAGGGTTTAGTCAGCAGCTGGAGGAGGCTTGTTCACTGCAGAGTTCCCAGCAGTGTTTGCCCAAGATGAGGCCCTTCCAGCAGGACACAGCTTCTTAAATCAGTCAAAGAGCATCTCAGTATTTATACCCTTCATGTCACCCTCTCTCTGCTCAGTGTCCACTAATACACATCATATTTGCTGTCTATCACTGTAGCAGCAGGAGTGGGCACAGGATCTCTATGACCTGAGCAGACCAGGGTAGAGGAGGAGAGAGTCCTGGAGGCCTCAGTGACTTTTGCAGGCTTTTATTGGGATTTATCAGGTACACAGCAGGCAGGAGTGCCGAGAGGCCAGGAGGCTGGCAGGCCTCCCAGCCCCCAGCAAGTCTTCACTCTTTCAGGGCTCTCTGGTGTTCTCTGGTGGTCTCTGCTCTCTGCTCCTCGTGGTTCTTCTCGTGGTTCTGCTATCTGTTTTTGCTGGCATCTTGGTGACGCCGCCCTTATAAGCTCAGTCTCTCAGCCCAGGTGTACCCACTTACACACGCCCACACTCCACTCCAGGTGCCCGCCATCAGGCATGCATTCAGGACCCCAGGGATCCATCATCAATCCTAATGGCGGGATCTTAATGGTGGATCCTACAACCACCCTCCTGCCCTTGACCATACATACTAGGCTCATCTTGTCAGCTGCTGAAAGGCCAAACCAGCAGAATTACAACTGTTGGCACCCTCAGCGCGTGTCAGGACTACGTCAGCAGCAGCACTGCCTGAGTTCAGTCCTTTAGGGCTGCGGGTCAAATGTTCAAGTTCTAAGAAGAAAAGTCTCAGGGACACATGCAGTGCTGATGTTTCCAACCTGAAGATTTCCCCTGCAACAGAGTGTATTTTTCTATGAGCAGCAGTCTTAGCCAGCCATGTGAATAATTTTAAACAGCCTGAAAAATTACCATTGATTTCAAAGCATTGATTTTCTGCCCCACACTAATACATTAAATCTCTTTTTGGAAAAAGACAAAAGAAAACTAAAGTAGTAAACTTTCTCTCCGAAGGGAGGGGGTAAGGAGGTACTTACATAATAAATTTAATTTAGTAAGTTGCCTATTTTTATAGTAGATGACCTGCAAAGGATATTTTACTTCCATCCAGAAAGCCAGTTCTATAAGAAGGAAGAACACAGCAAAGAACAATCAAAAAGTCTGCAGCCTCCAGAGTGGATGAGCATGTGACTCACCTCAGGGCTAGGTCCTCTCTCCAAGGACTGGAACCCGGAGACTGATGGGGGGCAGCCGCTCTGAGCCCAGCCATGTGAGTCCAAGTTTGCTGGGTCAGCACCACACTCGTTTGCCCCGAAGGCAGATACTGTGTTCACAGACCTGCGTCCTGTGGATGGGGCATCTCGGTTTGATTTTTTTTTGTTACTGACACCACAGCTTTAAAAAAGGAGTGTTGTGGGGGAAAGGAAAAAAGGGGAAGAAGCACAAGATTTCGGGTGGTGGAATATGGGTGAGTGGGCGATGAGGGCACACGGATGGTGATACCTAATGGGGGTACTCCAGTATTTACCTCCATTAAAAATAAATTGAAAATAAAGGAGTGCTGGCTGTCAAATCAGAAGAGTTGTCCCTGGCACAGGTGTGTCGATTCAAGCATTTCCCCAGCATTCCTGCTGGCACATGTGTGGCAATGGAAGCGTATCACCACCATTCATAAATTTTTCCCAAGCCAACCTGGTTTCTATGACCTTTAGTAATCTTGTGATTCCCAGTAGAAAACTGCTCCGAGCTAAAACAGTAGTT